CTGAGCTCCACTGTAGCAGGACATGATGAAGGAACGACCTTCAGTACCACATTCTGATCTTCAACCTCTTCAATGATTGGACAGGCTGGTTTGGATGGAGGAGTAAAGTAAACAGCTTCATCACATTCACTTTCATACAGGAGAATGCAGGAACCAGGATTATCCTCCATTTCTACTGAAGAAAAAATGAACCTAGCTGGGTTACAGTCTTTTGAATCAATCAAGTTCTTAAATGTCTTTAAGTTTTTCTTCATGCCCTTTTTGATCTCAGCAGTGAGCCAAGACTTTTGTTTTGAATCAGGGATCTTCTCATCGGTTTCTCCTTCTACTGAAGGACTCAGATAGGAGGTTTGATGAAGAAGCAGCACATCTGAGCAGTTCAGTGATATGAATGTGTAACTGACCAGATTTCCAACCTCCAGATCCATCAAGATGACATCTATGTTGTCTACTATCTGTGCACCATAATCCTTCAGCTGTCTGAGGACTGATTTAATGATCTCAGACTCTCTTTCTCTCTCTTTCAGCCATTCTGCAAGCTCAGATCTTCTGAAGGGAGATTCCTCATGTTCTTGTAGAAGTTCATTCAGTGCTGTTTCCTTCATCACGTCTCCACGGATGTTTGGTAGCAGAGAGCCGAGTTTCTTCACCAGTCTCAACTTGTACTTGTAGCAGTTTTGCTTCATTTGCAGAATTTTATCATGAAATGCAGCAAAAGCCACAGCAGGAGAGTCTTCCAGAAGATCACTGCATTTCATCTCAGCTGTATATAAACTCTCAATCACTGATTCGGTTTCTAACATTAGATCCATGCTGATGTCTTTCTGAAGTTTTGAAGCTCTTGAGTGAAGTTTGTCCAGAGGATAAAGCCAAACTCTCAGAGGAACCGCAAGCTCTTTCTTTTCTCCCAGAAGTTTTGGAAGATCCGTGAAAACCTTCAGAGCATCTTCAAAATTCGTCGGGTTAGACAGTAACTGGAAATCGCCATAAAACGTGCATGTGAATTTCTGGACTGCATTCTTCTGAGCGTCATTCATCTTCAGACTGATCTTCACATCTACTGAAATGAATTTGAGCTTGTCAAGGGCCGCATTTACTTCTCCTTCTACTGTATTTTTGTTCTCATCTGATGAAACTTCTCTGTCAAACACAAAGCAGGCATCTGCTCCATACAGCACCGCTGTCACCACGTGTGTCGCTGTGTCATTATCAAACACGAGCTGATGAATGATATTTTCAGGTGCCAAGTGACTCATGGTCAGTTCTTCAAACCTGCAGGTTGAGTGATAATGCAGTGTCAGTCTCTGCTGTCTGAAAGACTTCTTGGTGTCGTTGAGATATTTGGCTGCTCCTGTCACACTGACCAGTCCACCTAAAAGGCTGAGTTTCAGAGAGCCGTCGATGTTCAGTAAGCTTGATTTGTCCTCAATGGAGTCTGAAGCTGTTACTTTGAAATCTGTGTTAATTTGGGGACGAGTTCGTAAACTCTGCTGGAGCTTCTCTGGATCCCACAGTGTGATTCCTGCAAAAATAAAAGGGGAAGAATTGCGATTGATTCCACTTTAGGTCCATTCACACACACAGCGATTTAGTGATGAAGTGACATGAGCATCGGTGACTGTTGATGGTGTGATGAGGTCACCAATAGTGCAATGAAGTTAAGAAAAATGAGCAGCAATGTGACAGAAACCAATAGCAGTAAAGACACTAAGGCACGCATGATCCATATACTTTATGCCACATGTGTAACAGTATACAGTCGTGGCCAAAAGTTATTTATTTGACTTTATTCAAACATACCGATGTTCCCTATCTGTCACTCACTTGACGTTATGTCGATGTAGTGACAAGAAGAATACAAAGTTCAGTAAACTGTTTGCACTACAAACCAGTATGTTTATGATTATGATAATAAATGTAAAATATATGATATGAAATAGTAGTTTGCAAAATCAAGCATTATAACAGATGTTTCAGCTAAAATAACTGAACGCAAAGTCTAATGCATTACATTAAAGGGGTCATATGATGCTTTTTTAAAGATCATTATCCACATAGTGAGGTAGATATGTGGGGGCGTGTTAGAACGAGCCGTTTTAGGGGGGCGTGGCAGTCTTAACTTTGATAAAGAATATCTCTTTGGTTTTGACACTCCAAAGAGAAAGGAAAACTTGAAATCGCATCATATGACCCCTTTAAGTTCATAAGTTACAAATGGCCATGACTCTCTTACGTTAAAAATATGGTGGATAATGGCAGGTTTTTAGAGGAAACAAAAGCAAACAATGGTGCATTTCACTTGTGTCAGATAATTCGGCCAACTTGGGTAAGTTTTCAGAGTCTGAAAGCTTTGCATCTTTTCAATTTTCACACTTTGGGGTACTTCAACAAATCTGAGTCGGATGAAATTTTGTATTACGGTATGGTACCTGGTATGAGAGCATCTTTCCTGCAGTCATACAGCATCCCCAGCTGGAAGGGTCTCCCTAGAGCTGCTGTCTCAATCACATCCACTCCTACTGTAGCCATACTGAACACACCACAAGAACAAGCAGATTTGGGAAAACAAACAAAACACTGATTTTTCCGTCTGTCAAAAGCCTGACTGCTGATATGAATCCTGTTCTAAAACACATTTTATTGTTATTATTAACAATTCAGATCTTTTATTTAAATTGTATTATTTGTCGTACCTTCAAACTTGAGTTACCTGTGACGTGTAGAATGAGAGAAGCGTTTGCCTTTCAAACCAGAAACCTGTAAGATTAGAAACAGACTTTTAACAGAATGTAAGACACGTCTACTTCTTTTGAAATATGATTCGGCTTGTGATATTGTATCACAGGTTTGCATTAGAACAATGAACAATAGCTAAGCTGCTAAACGATCGAATCTCATTACCGTGTGTGAAGCCGCATCAGGATTGATTCACACCGCCGGAAATGTTGAGTTCATTTATAAACCTCTGCAGGACAAACACACACTTGAGTTTAATGACATTCTACATAATCAACAGCAAAATAAATGATGTTGTGTCCTCGAGCTGTTTCCGTGTGTTTTCTCCTCCTCGTCTCCGTTTTACTTTCACTTTCAGTTTCTCGTTGGTGTGTGTTTAAAGTGCCCCTATTATGGATTTTTGAAAATTACCTTTCATGCATTGTGTAACACAGCTCTAAGTGAATGAAAACATCCTGCAAAGTTTTAAATCTGAAAGTGCACCGTGTATAAAGTTATTAGGCTTGTTTGAGATGCGCCTGCCTGAAATGTAGGCGAGAGTAGGCGGCACTCTTGGGGCAGTGAGGGGAGTGAAATAAGCGCAGTCAAGACAGACAGTTCTGACCTCTTTAGAGAACATTAGCCAAAGTTAGGAGAACATTCTCTGTTAGCTGGGGCGCCATGTCAAAACAATCTAAGCTTTTACAAGCAGCGCAGCTCATCAATGTCAGTTTCACAGCAATGAACCAATCAGGACACCCCGGGCAAGCATTGCAAGCTTTTGTTTACAGTAGCAAGTTGACAAGGCAATTTCTGTTATTGCCGTTATTCCCTCACGTCTTGCGTTTTGCGCTGCGCTTTTTCAAACTATTCCAGAGCGCTGCATCTCGTGTTATTAGACGCAAAGACGCTTTCTGTGTGAACCGCCTCTTATTGTAGTTCAGATCAAAATGTTCTGAGAGGTTCACGCTAGGTTGATTGTAAGAGATTGGTGTGCACAACACCGTTTCAGGTGACACGTGTTCGAGTCCTGGCTCATGGTTTGTTCACTGCAACTGTTCACCTCTCTCATTCCGTAGCCTATAAATTCTTGTCTTCTTTTAAGTATTACTATTTTAATCAAATATATAAGCCAAACATTAATTTTAAAAGGACTATCTAGTAATAATTTTTCCTAAACTGTTCCTCAGTATAATTCTAAGGACATTTAGGCTATCAAAAATGAATAACATCAAATCAATGGTCCATGAACATTATTGTCACAATGATTATAAAAACCTATAGCAAATATTCATAGCGTCATAAGGATGTTCTTAGAACATTGTTTGAAGAATGTTTCTCAACATTAGAACATATATTTAATATTAATAGTGTTATAAGAACGTTCCATAAACATTATTTTAAGAATGTTTTATTTAACATTCACATAACCTTTAAAAACCTTTATTAATGTTCTCCCTTAGCTGGGAACATACCACGCAGAACACTAAAGGACTTTCTGAGAAAAATGTTTAAAGAACCTGTCCTCCCAAGATTCTTAGAACGTTTTCTCTTAACATTATGCGAACGTAGCCTAAATCAACCATTAATACCGTTATAAACATTATTTTAAAAATGTTCTGTCATAACCTTTAATGAAAGTCGTGGGAACGTTCCCTGTTAGCTGAGGAAGACCTGGACACCTGATAAACAAACACAGAAACCCTCCTGCTTCTTTGCATCTGAACCACAAGATTTAAAGAAACATGTGTCACATACTTCAACAGAACATCTTGCTTTTTTAAAGTATACGTTGCCACACATAATTATGTTTACAATGTGTAAATGTTTATTTCTTCATTCAACAGAGTTATGATGGGTATTAAATAGAAAAATGATCAAACACATAAGTCAATGAGCTATCGATGGATCTGAGAACAGCTGCGCTGGAAACCCTGCCAATTCCAGCTCTATCTGTCGAGACATTCCTTCATGCTGGACCAAAATAAATCTGTGTGTCTCTAACTAGATAAGCAGAGGATTTCATGTCCTCGTAGTTTGTCAGCAGCACAAAGCTAGACCAACCAATCAGGAAAAGCGTTTGTTACGTGAAAATGTTCCTTCTTTGGTATTTACTGGTTTCTGTGCCATAACCAGTTTATTTGATACATGGCATTAATACTAGAACATACTAATATATGCATTACTGTGCATTTCACTTACAAAAATGAATCTACTAATGATGCACCGAAATTAATGTCTTACTGAAACATCGAAAGCAAAATTAGTTTTCCATTTAGCCCAAAATGGCAAAGATAAGTTTAATACTCAATTAATGAATACAATTTATTTACTAACACTCAAAAACTGTTGTATATAAACATTTTAATTGAACAGTTATTCAAGGCACGTTTCATATCAACCTTTTAGTAATACATTTAGTTTGTAGTTCAGTTCATTGTTAAAGAATAAACATTTTAATGGTGTCGGTAATAAAGTAAAAATATAATGAACATGTAATATAGTGCATTTATTTAGCACAATGATCCTCTCAAGAGTTCATTTTTCTAGCTACCTAACAAATTATAAACATTGAATGTCTTTCCTGATATAACATTACATGACATGCTGTTTACAAGCTGTTTTTTTATTTATATTTTTGTGCAGTTGAAATGCTGACTGAGTGATTACCAGACGTGATTCAATTCAGTGAGTTGTATGGTTTCTTCTGATGTTCATTCATGTTTATTTGGTGCTATAGCTAGTAGTAAAGAGAAAGAGATGATTGGTTCACGTGTCATTTGAAATGAAGTGCTTCGGCGATCTGTCAAAACACATTAACGAGCAGCAAAACTGCATTTATTGTTTAAATTTCATTATAAAATTGACAGAGTTTGAAAGTTGAGACAGTTTCATATCAAAAGTAACAATTAAAGCATAAAGCTTACTGCAATTCCATCAGAGAAGCACTAATTCAACGTCAATGATTTCGGCCTTCCAAAACAGTTTCAGCCAAAACAGAAACTTCATTTTTGGCTGAGTATTTTCGGTTGCCTGAATTTCGGTGCATCACTGCAGTCTACACATTCAAAATACATGAAAGCGTTTCCTAATTGTGGAATCAGTTTTGTTTTAACTGCAAGTATATCCTAATACATGTTACAACAACAGCACAATAAAGACAGCTCTTGTACTACAGTGTCAATTACCTGTTAATAATCCAAACTGAACATTCAATTGCGCTTAAACAGTTCCACACAAAAATGCACACAGAGATGACACACAAAGATAAATAAGCTCTGATCTGAATGGGCCGGGAATACTGAATGCCTGAGGTCAGCGTTGATGTGGAGTTGAAGCAGCAGGTGATGCTGATATTCAATCATGAGGTGAGTCTCCGTACACGGCAGGTGAATGTCAGTCTGAATCGACCAATGAGGCAGCGGGATTCATTGCACATGATCTATCTGGTTTGTCCGGGTCTATCTTTGTCCCTGGCATACCTGGCACAGCTGGCGCAGCAGAAACTGGAGTAATACTGGCTGGAGCACAGACGTGCGTACACAATCAGCTTACAGTTCGCCAGTTCAGGCTGATCCACGCAGTCCGGCGACAACCCCTGACTCCCACTGAAATCTGCAGATGCAGTCAGACACATCAAAATACATTCACAAGCGCATGTCATCACATTATCATGGTATCAACTAATTTGGTGTGCTGTCCAGAGTCAGAAATTATCAAAAGGCTAAGGGCAAAAAATGCATTGCAGTCTATTGCAGCCGTGGAGATTAAAGTGAAATGTAAAAATGAATGAAAAGTGTCGATTCACAACATTATATTTAGATCTGCTCACGTTTTTTTTTTTTTTGCAATGTTAAGCATTATAACCAATCACATGTTTCTGTTGAGCTTATGAACGCAATGGCCAATCAGAAGCATTGAGGTTAGTCACCGAAACATGTTTAGTGTGCGTCACTGACTGAATTCACTGAAAACAGAGATTATAACAGGAGATAACAAGAGCGCAGAACTCACGAAGCCACGAAGCCCTTCAGTGATGAGGAACGTTCTTTACTTGCTTTCTGTATATCATTTATTCCCAAAAATGTTTTGTTTTTGATGCTCTTAAAATAACCAATGTGAAGTCTTGGTTTTATTAAACTTGGCTTGTTTTGTGTAGGCAGAACGTGCCATGCTATCCCCCCAAAAAACATTTTAATTACAATATCAAGAGCAATAATCAACCATATTGATTTTTCTTATAATATTGCAGCCTTAATTGAAATACATTATGTATGCATACTGTTTACATGATGCATTTGTTGCGTAAGTACATGTATGCCACCTTACTCACAGTCTGAGTAAATAAACATACATGGCTTCTGTTCCACCTTATTGATAACACTCTATAGTATTCAGATCGATTTTAATTAATTAAAATATGACAAAAAAAACAACAGAGATACAATTAAAAAGGTAAGTATAAAAATTGCTCTTACAAATGTTAAAAAAGCTAATTATTGACAAATATTGCTGCTTAAAAATGAAAATTCTGTCATCCTTTATTCACCGTCATGTTGTTCCAAACTTGTACGAGTTTCTGTCTTTTGCGGAACACAAAATAAGATATTTTGAAGAATGATGGTAACTAAACAGTCGATGGTAGCCACTGACTTTCATTATATATATATATATTTTTTTTTTTTACTGTGGAAGTCAATGGCTACCGCCTTTATTCACCGTCATGTTGTTCCAAACTTGTACGAGTTTCTGTCTTTTGCGGAACACAAAATAAGATATTTTGAAGAATGATGGTAACTAAACAGTCGATGGTAGCCACTGACTTTCATAATATATATATATTTTTTTTTTTTTACTGTGGAAGTCAATGGCTACCGTCAACCCTTTGGTTACACAAGCTCTTCAAATTATCTTCGCTTGTGTTTAACGGAAGAAAGAAACTTATATAGATTTTTCATAGTATGGAAAAAAATACTATGGAAGTCGATGGCTACCGTCAACTGTTTGGTTGCCAACATTTCTTTTAAAATATCTTCTTTTGTGTTCAACAGAAGAAAGAAACTTATACAAGTTTGGAAGTTTTTCATTTTTGTGTGGACTGTTTCTTTAATGCAGTTTTTGCCCTCTCGTTCTCACTCCACTGACCTTGTTGAGGGGATTTGGCCAGTCGCACTTCAGCCGCTGCGCTGACCGAGTACGTCCCAGTGTAGGCATTGCAGGTATACGTCCCCTCATCCACTGACTGGACATTATTTAGTATTAGCGTCCCGTCTGCTGACACATGCACATGATGTCCGTCCGGTCGCACTGGCACACCATTCCTGTCCAGAGAGACAGGCAAAGCCAGATCAGATGATCTATGAATGCTTCCTTCGCACTCAATACAAACTATAATCTATAAAACGTGTTCTCTGAACTGACCGTGACCAGCCAACGTTCACATTTTCTCCGGTCACTACACAGGGCAGTTGAGCAGTGCTGCCCTGCGGCACATTGACATCCGTGGGGGCTTTAGTGATCCTGAGGTCGCCTGGAGAAACAGGAGAATATTACAAGCATACTGCAGAGAACGAAAACTCAGAGGATGTTGCATTTGATTCAAACACTGGAAAAAGAGACACACCAACAACCCTGAGCTGGATTTGGCGTTCTTCAGACTTTTGGGCATCCGTGACGGTGCAGGTATAAAGCCCTGAATCATCTGACGTCAGCTGGTTAATCACCAGTGTGCCATCAGAGTGTTGAGAATGCCTGCATTAGGAGACATTTAACATCTCAACAGATGGCATAGAAAAGCAAATGATGACAAAAAAGGCAATCCCAGAATGCACCGCAATGAAAACAAGAGATGGCAGATGAGGCAAGAAAAATGCACAAATGTATTTCATTCAGTAGCACAAATTATCAGGGTTATTATCGTTAACTAAAATTAACACCATAACATAAAACATTTTCATTACTTGAATTAGAGTTATATTAAAATTAGTGCTGGGCGGTATACCGGTTCATACCGAATACCGGTGTTTATTTTTGTTATATGAATTACCCCCCAGCACTAATTAAAATATTACAATTATTAACAAAAACTATATCAATATCAGTGAGGCTGAAACTGTTTTTTTTTTTTTTCAATCTTATGTTTGCATATTCTGTGTATTTTTAAGGCTAATTTATATAATAACATCAAAAATCAACTGTGAATTGAGGCAAGACACACTAGGTGAATAGAGTAAAAAATAAAATAACTAATAGATGTCACCATACTTACCCAGCTCATTGATTACATTAAGAATTGCAAACATTTTTTTTGTATAAAAAGTTTAAAGAATTGTTGTTTTAAATATGCAAATTATTTTTATCTAATTAAATATGCACTCATTTGCATATATTTATAGAACAGAAATCTAAACATTGAATGAAGCCAGGTTTAAATGTCTCGTTTTATTTTGTTGACATATTAGAGTTACAGGTTTTTACAGAGGGGATTTGGGATTTCTATTTTTATCACTCCATAAATCAGAAAAAACTGTCAACAGACAGAATATATATAAAAAAAAAATGTCGCCATGTTTTTAGGAGTAAATGTTCTATGAATCAGTGTGAATGACATATGAGCAAACCCCTCTGTAAAACCCTTCAGGCAAAAATGTCAACAATTCTGTGTTTTTCTGTCAATATGGGGTGCTGTGTGTACATTAATGAGGAAAAAAAATTAACTTAAATGATTTTAGCAAATGGCTGCAATATAACAAAGAGTGAAAAATTTAAGGGGGTCTGAATACTTTCCGTACCCACTGTATATATAAAATATGATATGAGCAAACCCCTCTGTAAAACCCTTCATAATCTAGATAGGAATAAAACTGTGAAGTTTGGTGTTTGTAAGTGCTGCTGAAGTGGAGGTTTCTGGCTCAGTGCAGGAGAAAAAAACAAAACGCTCATTTTGGGAAAACAGCCTTTAAAAATATGTACTGTAATTGAAATCTACAGACAAACAGACAAAACACTTAAAATTGTATTCTGGATGTTTTCTTTCCACAAGTCTGGAGAAAAAAATAAAAAATAAAAATACTTAATGAAAAGCCAAAAAGCCTGAAATCTCATAATTGACAGATGCATGAAAAAACAAACAAACAGTATTTTTAGTGTCTGTCTTGAGTCTCCTTTGCTATTTGTATGGCACACAGAGTTGCTGCTTATCTAGTGCATTCCAAATCAATCACACTTTTAGGGTTCCACTGTGCGTAGGATGCAGCTCTAGAAGGGAGCCGCCTATGTAGACAGCATAGAGCAAGTCAGCTCAATAGGGTTTGAAAGAGAGTCACAGTAACGCATGCAGATGAAGGCACCTGAGCGAGTTGAGCGGCTCTCCAGCTCTGCTCCAGTGAACGGTCACCGCATGCATGGAAGAGACTGGCAGCACCGCGCACCGCAGTTTGGCCGTCTGACCTGCTCGAGCCTCGACCAGAGACGAATAGTCAATGTTGAACCTGACAAACGCGAAGGCCACGGTGAGTAACGAGTGAGAACATATGCTGCATAATTACACCAACATTTAATGATGGATGTCTTGTACCTGGAAGATGAATGTGATGTGTAGGACTGGGAAGAATCTGTCTCTGATATTCCTCCACCGTTCTGAGATGCTCCTGTATTTGAAAGAAAATGTGTTTTGCTCATGTAAATAATCATGTAAACCCTAAATGTCATCAATAGTGATAAGTATAATTGAATAGCAAGTAAATAAAGAGACTGGATAGTGCTAACCTGAGACAGACAGGTAAATATAGCGGTGATCTCTGTCACGGTCTCTTGTAGCCACACACAGAAACCAGCCAGAATCCTGCAATGTTATAGGACCAGCCAACAGAGAGCCGTCCGACTGCTGCTGATGCCTGAGTGATCAAGTACTCATCAACAAATCTAACAAAGACTCGTTAAAGGCATAGTTCAGCCAAAAGTGCACTTACTAAGTATGTTTACACGCATAAGGTACACAGCTATAATCAAGCTACAACAGGGTTTTTGTGCAGTCGAGCTTCGTCTCTCTCAAAGTATACATCACAATGTATAACTGAATATTTTTGAAAGATAAAATATGTATTTCAGTGTGCGCATTCAATGTCAAAGACAATTGTAGTCCAATTAACACATGCTAGGCAAAGTCAAGCTACAATCACATTAATTGGAAATCACAAAAAGAAAGAGTCCAACAGAATCATTAAAAATAGAATGACATTTTAAAAATATGAATTATGGATGAGATTAGAGCTGGACTAAAGCAACGTGTCATTACAAACTTGTATGACATAACTTTTTTTTTTTTTTGGAACACAAATGAGTAAGTTCACACTATTTTTTTTTTTTTTTCATTAAAACAAAACTATACCATCATAAAGCAGACAATTACATAATGTCATTATTTTCTCAATATATTATTACTTTAATTCTTCTTGCAATATACAGCGGGTAAAATAAGTATCGAACACATCATTATTTTTCTCAGCCGCTCAACTTCTTTATTTACTTGCTATTCAATTACACTCATCACTATTGATGACATTTAGGGTTAACGTGGTTTACATGACTTGCTTATTTACAGTAAATATATTCTAAAGGTGCTGTTGACATGAAATTTTCACCAGATGTCGGTAACAACCCAAGTAATCCATACATACAAATAAAACAAAACAAATAAGTTCAGAAATTAAGTTATGT